TTGTAGAGGTCTCTTCTAACGTAAATGATTCTATGTTTCTATGTTTAATGAAGATGTTAAACAGGATTAGGCCCAGTATTGACCTATATTGTTCGACACTATGTACTGGCCTCCATTAAGACTTTGTTCCACTAACCATCACGTACTTGTAATGAATTTTCTAAATATACTTGTAATGCAATATTCCCTGACAGTGTTGTGTTGATTTGTTGTCAATACCTCTAAAATGCAGCAGCTTCAGCATTAAAAATACTCAATTTCTACAAGATGTGCTCAGTTAATTGCTTTAATAGTAAAAGACAAAAATATCACTTGCTCAGAAAAGGGGTGGTATAGCTTTGGAAAGAAAAGTCTCAGTAACTTAAGTCACACACTTTTTTCAGCCTATCTGATGCCACCTGTTTCTTTGCATCTCTTGTACTGACCAAGCTTCTTACTTTTGTGTTAACAACAATGCTTCAAAACAGAAAAAAAACCCTAGCCTATGGATAACCTTTGTATGAGTTGCCTGAATATCAAGAAAGTAATTTCTTTATTGTATCACTGATAGGTGGAGTTGCAATTTCAAGATCAGATTAAGAATTAAATATTCACTGGGGCAGTAGCTGACAGATATTTTGTTTAAATAACAATATTCTGGAAATAAGAGCTACTGACTAAGCACATACTTGATGTAAATTAATAGGATATCATATTTTGTGTTTATATGACACACTGCTTTCTAAATACCAGCTGTCAGTTTTGCTGGGGACTATAGACTTCCTGCTGTTATTGCTCAGTGCAAAATGTGCATCCCATTCTACTGGGATGTTTCTGGCTGCAGGTAGTTTTTTCATTCTGGAAATGCAATTGTCTATGTGCATGTTAAAATAAACCTTACAGTCAGTTATCTTGGTTCAGCGTTTTGAATTACCTTGCAATAGCTTATCCATCTGTTGTTACCGGAGAGGGGAATGCTTTCCCAATTTATATCAGTTTCCAATCTATTCTCATTGCTATTTTTTTCATAGTACTTAATTTTCAACATGTGCACAAGCTTTGTGCTCCACCTACTGGCTGATTAACATTGATTATTTAATAAAAGCTCTTTAAATTTTTCATCGGTGTTGTTGACAGAGAATGAAAAGCAGTCTAGAGCCGGAAATAAGAGAACAATGCTAGCACTTGGTAAACAAAGTGTTATACATTTTGTATTGCTTTCTATATCGGAATGAAACTGTGAAAAGTAGGTGAACACTATAACCGTGTAGACTTGAAATGCAGTATTGCCATTTCTAATAATGGCTGAATTTGCAAGGCCTTGGGACAGATGCTTGCCAAACTTGCTCTCTCTGAACTTTTCTTGACCTGACAGTGGCTTTGTTTTACTTGGTTTAGCTGTAACAACAGTTTCTCTAATTGACCAGGTGTCTGTGGCTAATTAATTTTGCCTTGTGTAATTTTTTATGGTATGACCATAATTTTATATAGATAACGCTAACAAGTAGTTTTTCTATGTAGAGAATGAGGCATTTATGATGCTAAACTAATGATGTAGTGTAGGGAAATGCAGGCCTGGTACAGTAGCAGGGGCCTTGATATCTGGAGGTGCAGGATGCGGCACAGAGGAGTACAGGCAGGGAAGAGTAAGGGACGGCACACAGGCTTGGCACTGTAGACCCCATGGCTATAAACAACTCACCAATACTCAGTTAAAAAAGTGCAGAACTAGATCTGACAAACATTTAGAGGCTTTAGAGGTAACAAAGAGAAGAAAAGAATAGTGTGTAATATACATAAAAGGCACCATGTATGGAGTATTTTTGGAGGTACTGTGGAGCTATAGATAGTGAAGACAGAACAAAGGTGTAGAAGTGTGTTAGCAAATATAAAAATTATTCCAAGTGGATCCTGAGGTGAGGAAAAAGAAAGCAATAACATGAACATCCTGTTGGTCCTGCTGAAGGGACTCTAGATTTTGCCAGTTTACCCTAACCCCCCAGCACCACCAGAATGAAACTAGAAGCAATGCAAGCATGAGCATCAGGAAAAGGGGTAGAAAACTCAATGTGTGAATAACAGTTCAAACTGTTTTATCATTGTTATTGACCTTTTTCTGTATAGAAGTATTCTAACTATTATTATTTTTTCATTAACAATTATAGCTGGATTAATAATAATTAGACTCTTAAGATTTGGGTTATACTAACAGAAAAAAATGCTTGGCTTTATATAAGGTATGCTTGCTTTTTGCTTATAAACAAGATATGTAGTGTAACAACTGGTATATAGTGTGGGCAGCTCTCCTGTGAACCTTTTGGGCATTTTGGAGGACAACCCTCTGTGAACCCCTTCAGCATTGTAAGGGTTGGTCCATCTGAAGCCCTTACAGCACTTTCAGGCTGTCCTTTTGTATTCAGCATATAATAATCAAAGATGAGGGAATAGGTTAATATGTGTTCCTGGTCTGGGTAAGCGTCTCACCTAGAGGAAAAAGTTGATTTATTCGCAATGTGCACAGATCTTTTTAAGGATATAAGACGTGTTTCCTGTTTGCCCACGAAGGGAATTTTGAGTGTGACATCCCATTCTAGCCTTTTCCTGCACTTGCTGTACTCATTGACTATACAAATACCTCCCTACCTCAATTTTAAAATGATTGTGCACTGAGTTGCAACATCATATGGCACCCAAAGAATGAATAACATCAACTCAGTATCAAAAGGTGCATTTCGTAGCATTCCATATGCACTGTATATATTCTTCTTTTTTATTATTATTTTCATCCGAGGCAGTAGTAAGCATTTAGTCCACCTGGGAAGGTAGCATCCATCACTTCACTGTGAAGACAATTTTGTAAAATTAACCAGGAAATAGCTCCACCATCTAGTCATGCTGTTTTTAACATAAAAATGCCTTCCACATAATGTCTGTATATCTGAGACAGCTAAATATTTTAAGTTTCATATTCCAAATTCACTATAAACATTTTGGCAGCCGTTTCAAAAATTGCTGCACCGCTGGATTGTTTATAGTAGACAGAAAAATTGGGTTAAAAAAACACCAGTCAGGAAATTCTTCTGCTAACTCTTCATCTTAAAGCCATACTCTTTTGCCAGTGTTACATCTGCGATATGAACCTAAGCTGGTGGCTTAAGGAGAGTGCATGAACAAACATTTGCTTTAACTGTTTTTCAATGTGCATTTGTAAAATTATTTATTTTACATAGTGCACCTGGGTGTCACAATTTACATTCTGTGAGGTCAAGAAGTTAACGATGCCGGCTTCACTGAATATCTTGCATGCATTTCTTTACATTTAAAATAAGATCCTTTTTTCTCCTTCATGTCTTAATCCAAACCAAATAATGATCATGATGAGCTGTGGTGAAAAAGATCTCTTGCATCAGCATTTGGCCTTGATCATTCCCAGCTATATGGAACAACAGTCCTTTTTTTATGCCAGTTATTAGGAATGTGGAAGAGTGCAGCTAAGTCATATCCAAAATCATTTTAAAAAATAACTAAAAGTTCTGTCAGAATTCACTTTTTCCTTTTTGGAGTTATATGCTGGAATTACTCCAGGTGTAAAGTTGCAGAATTTCCCACATGTTTGAATTTAACAACTACAGTTCAACTAAAGGCCTTCTTGACTGGCTTCTAGAAATATTGAGGACATCATGAAGAATGTGTTTAAAGTACTTACTAGGATAAGCAAGTCTGTTTCCTCTCTCGTGATTTTTTTATTTCTTTAGTCAGGATAAAGATGTAAAACATTGCAGATTTCTGTATCAGATTTTAAGGTGAGTGAAATTCAGGACTACTGAAAGTGGTCGATGAACTCTAGTTCTACTTTTTAGCTGTCAAAACATGTTTTGACAGCCATGTATATGTGAGTTTTCAAAACAGTGAAGGTTCTTTATGTGTCTCTGTGCTATGCTTTGGCTTCCAAGTGGATTAAAGTAGATATTCCTATATAAGTGTATACTTGGGAATTATTTGGCAGTTTTCCTATTTTTTTACTATTGTGCAGTTACAGCCTTTAGACTTTCTAAAATAAAAAGTACCTATTTCAAATTATTTTTCTGTTTGTTTTCACAGGTGATCAGTCAGCACTTTGAAGGGATACTAGGGAGGCTCAAGTTGAATATTTCAGTTTAAACCTTTTTCCGAAAGGCAAAGGGAGGAATCACTAAAATAGTTTGAGTTAAGGAGAAGCTCTGTTAAGCAGCAGCTTTGCTCCATTAAGCAAGAAGATGTATGAAGCAACTGCAAGTGATTAAAGTTATGGGGTGATATTATGGTGAGAGAACTGAAGAACATATGGCTAAACATTTCTTTCCACTACTACTGGCTAAGAGTGGGACCCTACTTAGTGTACTAGTGACCTGTCAAATCACATTTCGAATACACAGAGAACTTCAAAGATGGGAAGCTGCCTTGCATGGCAGGCTTTTGAAGCTGAACGTGAAGAGTATTACTTTTACAGTATTACTCCATTTAGAATAGAATGTTTCCAGGGAAGGGACATCTACAACCTCCCTGGGTGACCTGTTCCAGTGTTTCGCTACTCTCACTGTAAAAAATGTCTTCCTTATATCTAGTCTGAACCTACCCTCTTTTAGTTTAAAACCATTAAATATGGCTTGCCTACATAGGCACTGTGCCAATATGTTTAATGGGTATATTTCACTCAAGGAGCTAGTTTGTCAGTAAAAGCTGATGATTTTGTCAGCAGGAAAAAAAATTCCATATAACTTCATCATCAAGCTTGTGCCTACTGAAGGAAACCTTTGTGATGATGGTTGGTTTTGATTAGAGCTGCTTTCCTTTCCAGGTAGTAGAAGGACATGTTTAATATATTTGATATTAACAACTGATTCTGTCACTTACAGTTTCACATTACTATTTTATCCTGTTTCATGCTGCTATCTGATTGTATTTCAGGAAGCTTCTTAACAATTAGAAGTTGAAACTAACTCTTGTATGTTTGCAGGTAAACTCTGTAGTTCCTTTGTGTTATTTCTAAATAACAACTTATAAACTGTTACTATTTCTTCAACAGCTTGTGAAAGGCACACACACAGAGCATTTGCAGTTCAGCTTCCTATTTATCTGCTCACTGTGGTACATTTAGGTGGTAATGTAAAGGCTGTTGTGAAAGTAACATTGGTAACAAGAACTGGTCAAGTCTGCATGTTAATTCAAATATAAAGAAGAATCAAATCTCTGGCTGAGGCTAAAAAATAAAAATACGTTGCGACTTCTTCCCCACCCACTGCCCCATTTACTATAAAAGTCCAGCTGTGCTGAAGTTAATGGCGTTTAATTTATGGACAAGCAAGCTTTTGTACAAAAGTGGCAAGTTGGTAAGCGAGTAAGTTACTAATATTTTGGTAAAAGTAATTCGAAAACATAGGAATGATCTACTTCTGATTCTTACATACAGAGCCTTTGAAGAAAGACAGAAGCAAGAAGAAGAAAAAGAACAAAGATTTAGACAAAGAGTTCTTCAGCAAAGGAAAATTAAACTTCAGGAGGCAACTGAGAAGTTCCAGCGTGCTCATCTGCCTTTTTCTCAGCACAAACAAATAGGTTTGTAAACTAAAATTTAATCATTATTCACAATACAAGTGTTTTTCTATTTGCAGGATCATAGAATTGTTAGGGTTGGAAGGGACCTCTGGAGATCATTATTAGTCCAACCCTTCCTATTATTCTATCAGTATAAAATAATTGAAGCAAATGGAACAATTAACTTTACTCAAATTCATTGAATTCATAAAAGCAAAACAACTGACAAGCTCAGATCTGATACATATGACAATTGAGTAGAGGGAATTAAAAACACAGTTTTGGTTTTATTCCTAAAAATTATACTGTGAGATATTGCACTATATTCCGGTCACGGTAAGTACATCACCTCCTTGGGGTATTGTGGCTTCCTGGGTTTTCCCCACTTTTTTGACTACAATGTGCTTATTGCTTGCAGTACTGTGCTTTCACAGCTGGGTGAGAGGTGTTACAAAGCCACTGACAGTTACTAGGGTAGAGTAATGGTCCCCTCTTTGAACCACTGAAAATGACATATTCAAGAATGTGCATTTTGTTTATCATTAAGTAAAAGCAGTCCTAGCATATATTAATGTGTTACATAACTTTTTTTCTGAATTAGTCCACTTTCTAAGCTGTTCTCTCATTGCTGGGAAGTAATGATCACTGCAGCTCAGTTCCTGCTTTCTTGGAATCAGTGCAGATTGGCAGAAGTTTGTAACAGCATTGGCCAAGTCTGATTTCCAGTCAACTTTCCAGTGTTCAAACTCTTAAGATATGGTCTATTACTTAGGTATGCTTTAGCAGATTTACTCTCCCAACTGCAATTGTGCCAACTGTGAGGTAATGTCTCTTACTTCAAGATCAAATGTCAGATTAAAATAACAAAATAGAAAAGTACTGGTTTAGGGCTTCTTTGTAGCCCTACTGACAGCCTAGACTGTGTAGCAATAGAATGAATCATAATTTTTTTTCCTTGGTTTTCTTTTATAGCAAAAAGTTACTCCCTACCCTACTTTTACTTACTTGAAAGAGGCAATAACTTGTGCCTGTCTGGACTCTTTCTTTCTCCACTGATTGGATTATTTGGCCTCTGTAAAATATCTGCAAGCCATAACTTCGGCTAAGTACATGAGCAGAATAATCATGATGTAAAAAAAAATTAGATTTTTTTAACCTCCTACTTTTTCAACAATGCATTTAGAAAACAAAGAGCAAAACTGTTGAATAGATGTGTAACTTTAAACACTTAAATAGGCTGGCATTTTGTTTCAGAGGAACCTGAGGTTCTCTAGCATGTCTAATAATGCTATACCACTCTGTTTATTGTAACTCTCTGGATTTAGGCTTCCAAACTTCAGAAACTTAACCAAACCATTTATGGTGAATTATTCCAATTTTAAAAATATTTTTTCCACTGTGTTTTTTTAACTCTGATCCCTCTAGTCCAGACAAAAGCATCTTCTCAGTTAGAAGAAGCTCTTGAACAACTTAAAGGATCGGTTTTAACATCAGGATTGTCCTTCCCAAGGATAAACAAAATCAACTTCAGGTAAGCATTCCTGTTTACTCTGATGATCACAGGAAGTAAATTGATTTGTGTATTCAATAAACAGGAGACGATTACTCTTTAAGAAATTGTAGGACATTTCTCTCATAGCAAAGAAGGCATTTCTGTGAAGTTTTCCAATGAAGCATTATGCAACTTCCTTGAGTTGTTTGTGTCCATTTGGTAAGACAGCAGAGGAGGTGACACACACCTTTTCCCTTCAGCAGAACTCTGGGAATAGTCAGGACTAACCCAATCTCCATTCAGTTATAGCCTGTCTCAGATTTCCATGGTTATCAAACCATTTGCTATACTGTGATTTCTGAAGTATTCTGTCTAGATGGTTTCTTATTCTTATCCAGATATTTTTCCTTCTGACATTCAAGGATACTTTAGTTTATATATTCATGCAAGGATCTTCTTTCCAGCTGTCATTCCTTTATATTTCTCATTCTCTATATGTATTGTGAGTATCCTGTAATTTTATTTTATATCACATACAATTTGATTTGCATACTTTTCTCTCTGCCCAAGCACTTTCGAAGATACCTTGACTTATAACAGAATGTTTCTTCATACATAGTTTGTCTAGCTGCTGTATTTCATACTCCTTCCTGATTATCCCCTTCCTAATCTCTTATTTCTTTAACATTTCAGTTCAAGGGGTTATTTTTGTTATTGCTGCTTTTGTTGTTACTATTATTATAATTATTTTCTGCATTATATAAATTGTGCCTAAAAGGGGTCTTCCTAATTTTGAGCTTCAGTGTGTTCTTCATTGTGACATTAATATTCAGCTTGTTTACATAGCTACTGCTGATTAATACCTTTGTGTGTGATAAACTGATCAATTGAGAAAATATTTCATAACTCTACAGCTAAACACTCATGCTGTTTGCCAGTCAACATTCATAGGAAGATTGCAGCCATAAAAACAAAGAAACAAGCAAGAAATCTACCTGCTAAACCTAAGTTTTCATTTATGGGAAAAAAATGTAGATGTTTCTGAACCGTGTCTCAGGGTTCCT